AAAAATCTTAAATGAATAAAAACAGAAAAATATGTTGCAATTTTCAACATTTGATTCTATTTCAAAGGAAGGTCTAAAGTATAATAATTCTTTTTCTCAGTCCTAAACCCAAATGAGAAAAATCCAAACACTATATTCCACTTATAATAATAATTAGGTAGTGTAATTGTATAATATATCTTTTTAAAGTATCCTCTTACTTTAATTCTAAGAGGTAAAAGGTTAACTCATCTAGACTGATTATTTATCGGTTAGCTTACTGCAAAGCTCACTCCACTGGAAACCACGCGAGCAGAATGCTGAGCGGTGTATCAGGCCATGATCTATCACTGGTTCATCATGTAAAAATCTACAATGGAAGGCTTGGAACTTCCCAAACCATGAATGCTGAGGTGGTAAAACAGGGCAGGGGTGAACATTCTACAACACTGTGCCGATGTAACTGCAAGGATGGACCTGGTCTTCGTAATCATGCAACTTAAAAGCTTTACAGCTCTAAAAATTGAGCTAAAACATTACTGATTTTCAACATTCCAAATCTAAAACATAAAACTGTCTCCAAGTCTTTAATAAGGGCCACATTAAAAACTAGGTTTAACTTTTTTTTAAGTGTTGAAAAGTTACCCAAGGAAGATTATAATCAAAAAATATTCATCCATAGGTACCTTTTTAATGAGGTGAGGCTCTAATCCATTCTCTTTCACAGACTTGCATAGTGCGAATAAAGCCTGTTTTTCACAGACAGGGCTACAGCATAACACCACAGCTATCATCATCAGTAAAACGGCTTTCCTATTACAAATCTCATCCAAAAATTCAGGGTTCTCAGCTCTGTGGGACTTCAGAAGAATTTAAAAAACAATAATGCAATGTAAATATTTAGATATTACAAATAAACCAACCAGACTAAAACCAAAGCACACACCGATAACATCTAAGCAACCAGTGAATAGTTTTAAATTCTATAGTGATGAAGCCAAGAATAGAGATTATGAGAAAATACTTAAGTTTCTACAGTGGGAAAGTCTGCTTTTGATAAGGTCTTATAGAAAGAATTGCCAAACAGTTCAATGAAGTATAAAGCATTTTAAAGAAAAAGAAAGAGAAAGAAATTGCAGGAAAGTGAGAGAGACTAAAAGCTTTTCAACCACCAAGTATTATCTTCTAAACCATTTATTACCATTATAACTTAATATACATAGCTCTTTATTCTTTAAAAATGTCATCATATATATTACAAAAAAAATCAGTAAAATCACGCAACTAGATAGAATGATATATTCTACCAGCTTAATAATCAATCATTATACTACTGCAATGGATATGTACATTTTTTGACTCAGTATACTGGATAGAAATTTCCCTTCACATCAGGAAAACTTGCTATTCACTGATTGTATTTCTGGTTCTGATACAAAAAAAAGGAAGGACCTAATCCTTTACTAAACAGCAATCACTGACATGTTTGAAAATAGCTGTGAGGTTCCCACTAAGTCGACTCCTTCACCTACTCCTTGTAAGAGACAGATCTACAGACTCTGTAACCTTCTAGTGAAAAATCTACTTTTACTGAGAATGAAACCCTACATGCTGGCCGTCCTCTAAAATGAATAAAAGTTTCAAGTTCTTTTCATGAATTTATTCATCACAGTCTGCTTCTACTAATGACATCTAAAACAGAATTTGCTTTTTGTGATAACCATTAAAATGTTGATTCATGTTATGCTCTCAAGATGTAAAACTTCTTACGTCTTTTCTCCCAATGAACTGCTGTCAGGTCAATATTTTCCCTTTTGGCACGTGACTGGCAGATTTTAAAATATATATTATACATTATCTCTATTATATTTTATATTATTTACACTCATTTTCCCTATCTATTGAAATCTCTTTCCAAATTCACATTCTTCCCTGCAACTTTCCTTTTCAGGTTTGTGCTATTACAGAATATACAGTCAGTTGATTAACTGCCTCACATAATTATAACAAACAAGTTAAGGCATATATAAATGAATAAATTCTACTACTAAGACAATTCTTGCCATTTTAGGAAAAAATATTATTCCACAAAAAAATATGAAAATTATAAGGTTCACTACAGAGCACAAAAATAATTTGATCTTCCCAATTAGAGTATTTCTTCTCAATCCATTTCTTCCTATTGTCACTTGTCCTGTGAATTATTTTTTAATCAGATCTTACAAAAAATTCTCTTTAATAAAAAAGTAAGTCATTTATACTCCCATGAAAACTCAGGAAATTCTGCTTTTCCTACAACAATGCTACACAGAAGCTGAACCGAAAGAAACTGCCATTATTCAACCAATCGTGACCAATAAATAAAGCAATTTCAATTAATTCATACAAGCTGTTCTAGTCTAAATTTACACTGTGAACTACTGGATGTAAACTGTCTTAGGTCAAACTTCATAAAGTACTACATGGTGTATTTATAGAAAGTATATAATAACAGCAAATATGCATTACTAAAATTACCACTTCTCTCATTCCTTCCTGAGCTTTCAAGTAGGCATTTTCAAAAGCTGTTTGCTGAAGCTTCAGAGGAAGTGCTTTCAATAATGTAGAAGAACGTCCTTGTTCCATATGCTGAAATAATCTTAAAAATAAAAAGCAAAAAGTAAAATAATTTTTAACCTTCAACCATACTTTCAAAGCATGTCATAGGACACAAATAAATCACTTGGTGAGACACACTTAACATACTAGGTCTCCTTTCAAAAGACCACAGAAATGTGAGTCCATTTAGAGGTTCAGATCCACTGCTTAATATTAGGGTCTTTCCTACAGACTCCATTTTCTCCTAGAACTGAATAGCACTGAAAAGGGTCTCAAAAGATCATTTAGCTTATGGCCCAAACTTGAATATCCCTGAACTCAAAATAATTAGAAAAGAAAAATTGTCCTCTGGTCAAATACCAATTAGAAGAAACCACAGACTCCTATGTCAACCTCTAAGACTTAATCAACTTGAAAGTGGATAGCTTTAACGTCTTGATGTTCCATTAAAAAAAATTTTTGTGTGGTACGGAAGAGTTGAACAGTGCTTTCCACATAATGGACTACCATATTTAAGAACCATTCTTTAATTAATTTTTTTCTTTATGCTTCTTTAGTAATCAAAATTTATAAAAGTATCACTTTTTTGGTGTTCCTTTGATTTCTTCAGTTTCTCTAATCTCTCTTAAATAGCCTAATATTACATATCTAACAAGTAAACAACTAATAAATAAATAATAAATGCTATGTTCAAGCCATTCATGAATTTACATTTTTGAATCTCAAAAGATTTTCCAATGCCACCACTACTGTGCTTTATTACATTCAACTTATGAGCCTCTGTAACCCCAGATCTTTTAACTTCAGTATATTTTTTTCTACCCTTTAAGGACCTGAAGTAAAGCACACATCCATTAGCAAACCCTACAAAGCACTATGGTTTTACTGAAAATAGTTCTAAACCTAAGGAGTTAGATACAATGTGATTCTGATTTATGAAAACATTACTGTCAGCGTATCCTAACTTTGGACACAGTAAGTTACCTAACACGTATTTATGTGACTACAGGACAATTTCTTTACAGTGATTTTTGTTTGTGTGTTTTATTTTTGTTTTTATCTGGGGGGGAGTAATTAGGTTTATATATTTATTAAGTTACTTTTTAATGGAGTCACTGGGGATTGAACTCAGGACCTCATGCATGCTAGGCATGTACTCTAACCACTGAGCTAAACCCTCCCCCACCACATAGTGATCTTAAATTACTGGTCACTTACATTTGAACAGTAAAGTTACTTAAATGACTTTCAGTTTTGATGTTTTTAAAGCATAATGTAATTTATTTTTTCAAATATTAATTGATTTTACAAATTATTAAACACCTGGCACATGCCAAGTATTACTTTAGGTATAAATGCTATATAGAAAAATAAAGCAGAGAGGTGCTTTATCTACAGGGAGTGTGAGGTGGGAAAGATACAAGTAGGTTACACTTCAGAGTTTCAAAATCAATTTGATAACCTGATTAATGTGCAGTTGTTAAAAAAATTAATATTTGCTTCTCCAGGTACTCAAATAAAACAGATCCCTGTGAGAGAATCACTCTAGTGCCCAACTGTATGCTCAGATGAAGAAATGACTGTAATTAGCACAAGGTAAAATGTGCTAATTTTCATTTTACTAACTCATATAAAATCTCAATAATATACAAATATTCTGCATCTCCCATAAGTAGTAACAGACACATCTCATTCAACTCAGTCACTTAACTACCTGTAAGGCACTGAGCAGGTTACTTTGTCTCTCTAAGCCACAGAGTTCTCATTTATAAATTGGAGAAAACAATAGTACCTAAGTGATAGAGTTGTCAGAATTAAGAGAAAAGATAAATGCCGGGTGTACAGTATATGCTCAATAAATGTTCTCTATTTTTAATACCACAATTGATGACCTACGACTGTACTCAACATTCAACTGCTGTCTGCAGCGCTGCGGGCACTTCATGAATACTTGACCCATTACCTATTGACTGATTCTGCAGCCAACATGCGAACTTGGTGATGACTATCAGCAAGAAACTGCGGAAATATTTCGTTTACAGGAAAGTCTTCTTTCATTACATTAAGAATAGCCCATTTTGAATAAGGATCAGCCTATGGGAAAAGAACTGACGTTAAATATGAAGAGGAAAATCACCCACTAACAGACAGAAACAAAGACTGTTTTAAAATTTTCAATGGAGACCTTATTAATAATTAATGCAGAATAACTCACCTCAAGCAAAGTTTTAAGGCATTTTACTAGTGCCATTCTTACAGAAAATGTGCATTTTCCCTCCTTTGCTAAGTGCCTGAAATAAAGTGTTTCAATATCAAATAATTATTCCAATCAAAGCATAGTCAAAAGAAAATCACTGGGCAATAAGGTTATTCTAGGTTGCTTCTAAAATTTCTTTCCATTCTAAATTTAATTCTCATTATGTTTCATATGCCAACATACTCATATTCCAAAAAATTTCAACTAAAATTGGCTTGAAAAGGAGTTCATTTTAATGTATATTATTTGTGTCATATGATTATGCATCACTTTGGGGCTATCATATTTTAGCTAACCATGTTATGCAAACTTGCTTTCAGAGGAAAACATTTTTAAAATTGCTGTGTTGTTACAGAGAAGATTTCAAAACCACATTCTATACTGACTCAGAAGTCCTCACCTGTCAAATGGCATGTGGGCTCTAAATTACATATATGTGCTCTGCTATAAGTATCCTGGTATTACCTCACACTGTGACTCCATACATGAAATAAGCAGATAGTATAAGGCCGATTTGTCCACTTTAGGAATGTGAACTATCTACTCAACTGATTAAGACTTGCTGCACTTTGCTTTTTTCATCACACACGTCAAACTATTAAGGGATTCAACATTCTCACGGAAATATGCTAAACCCACTTTGGGAAGCCAAGCCTTACACAAAAAGCAATATAGTTCTTCAAGCAATTAAGAAAAGAAACACAAATTACATTATACTATTGTTAAAAGACTCGAGGATTAGAAGAAGTCATTAATGCAGAAATGCAAAGTTTGCACTTGTACCCAGAAGTAGCAAAAGAAAAGTAAGAACGCCACAAAACAATCTGTACCTACCAAAATGCTCCAATCACTGTAAGAAACTGTCCTTGAGCATCACTTGTGTTCTCAGTGTCCGTATCTCCTTGACACAGGTTCGTCACTATACGAAGGACATGGTTTAAAATGGTTTTACAAACGTCTTGGTCACGGCGATACAAAGAACACACATTGCTGTGGTGGAAAAACTTTATCAGTGTAACAGAACACATCAGTTTAGTTTATAAATTTAGAGTGAACATTATATATGGTTTTAATTTCTTACGATAATGGTTTTAGAAGTTCAACAACATCTTCCATTGGCAAGGGATGTTCTTCTCCAGGAAGTTCCTTTAAAAGCACTAGATACTAAGACAGTTGGAAAAAAAAAAAATCAGGTTTTTTTTTTTCCCAAATACCACTTACTTAAATAAGTAGACATACGTAACCATAAATTCATATGTAAACATGGGCACACGTGCACACATACACAAAAGAGCAGTAAATTTCGGAGAGGCGACATAGTTTAAAAAAAAAAGGGTTTTGAAGTTAAAAAAAAAAAGTTTTGAAATCCAGAGCTGGATTCAAATCCCAGCACCATGACCTATTACTTGTATGGCTAAAAAATTTGCCTTGTCACTGAGCCTTTGTGCTCTCACCTGTAAAATGGGGACATAGCACTTACCTGGCCAGATTACTTTGAGTATTAAAAGAAATAAATGTAAAACTCCAGCATTTATTGTAGTAATCCAGTAAGTGATAGCTGTCATCACCATTGGGATTAAGAGCCTGAGCAAGACTCTGAAACTGTATTACATCACCAGCCTCTGAAAACAATGCTTGGTGATAACTTCAATGGTTAAAAACTATTCTATTAATGAATTTTGGAAAGCAGTAGTAATTACGGGCAGAGAAGAATCCATATACCCTGACCTATCTCCCTATAAGGCCACTTTGTAAGGTTCTCTATGGCTACAATGGGTATAAAGAGCTACTAAGTAACTACCAGTTATAACAGCAGTGATAACTAGTTTCTGAGAGCTGCCACATGACCTTCTTAGCTGTAATAAGAAATCAGCTTTTTTTTTCCCGTACCATCTATATGCAGAAAAATGTTTCTTATTCTTCCTGATATTATGAAACATTAATTTGGACCATGTTAAATATTTGCCATGAGAGTCATGTGTGATGTTACTAAGTATCTGGAAGTGATTTTAAACATCAAAGCTTCAATAAAAGCATACAGCCCTCCCCACTGGCCAGGGCTGGAGACTTGACCAAAGTGTTTGCCAGGGTTGAAACCAGGGACCAAACAGGGCTCAACTAAGCGTATTTGCCCAGGACAGGGGATCGACTGGCATGGTCACCACAGATAGGAGATGACCAGGAATTCTACCAGGGACTCAACCCTGCATGTTTCCAAGAGGTTCTAATTAGGGAATCACCTGGTATATTTCCCAGGGCTGAGGAAATCACGTGGCATGTTTGCCAGTTTGCTAGGACATGACTATGGACTCAACCAGCCTACTCACTGTAGCAGGGGCTGTTCTTGCATGTTCACCAGCATTGGAGCCATGGGTATGGCCCACACGGTCAGGAGATCAGGTAAACGCAAAAACATTGAGTAAGTAAATGTATTGAGGTTACGTGGGAAGCCAAGTTTTTTACTGTTGGAAAGGGAGCTACAAATATGGACAGAGCAAAGAACAAATAAATCCTATGATGTTGGACTGGAATCGGAGATATCTATCAGTAGATGAGTAGACTGATAAGGGAAGGGAAGTAGAGAGGTTACTTATGTTAAGTCTACGTCTGATCACGAGGAATCATGAGACAAACTCAGAGTGAGGGATTCTATACAGTAAGTGGCTGTACTACCCAAAAATATGAAGGTCATTAAAAAAAATGCAGGTCATGAAAGTTATAAGGGAAGACTAAGGATCCACTCCAGATTGAAAGAAACTAAACAGATCTGACAACTAAATGCAATGATGTTAATTTCCTGATGATTATACTATGGTTATATGGGAAAATGTCACTGCTTTTAGGACATACACACTGAAGTGAAGGGGCATCAGGTCTGAAACTCAATCTCAATATGCGTGTGCACACACGCAGAGAGAGAGAATGAATGATACGACAAATGCAGTAAAATATTAACTATATAAGCTTATGAAGAAAATACGAGAGTTCTTGCAGCATTTTAACTTTACAGTCACTTCTAAATTACATTAGGTGGGAGGGTATAGCTCAGTGGTAGAGTGATTGTTTAGCATGCAGGAGGCCCTGGGTTCAATCCCCAGTACCTCTATTAGTAAATAAATAAGCAAGCCTAATTACCTTATCCCCCAAAAAAGAAAAATTTAAAAAGTGAAATAAAATTAATTTACAAAAAAAAAAAAGAGAAATCACATTAAAAAAAATTTACAGCATGTAAACCAAGGTCAAGGCAAGATTCAGACTTAAACTACAATGTTATGTGAGTATTATTTTTACATTCAGAGTCTGTGGCTCTTGGTTGGCCTAGCTTAAAATAACTTACAATAATTACAGCCGAAGAGAATAAATCTATCCAAAGTCCATACTAGTTTTAATGTATCAGTATCCACTTAAATTTTTTTCACAGCACATTTAAACAAAAAGTGTATTTTACAACGTTTCAGATTCATTTCTCAAGGAAGCAATTTCAGCTCTTACAAGGTACTCTGTGATTCTTTTATATCAGTTCATTATACTTAGCTAGCAACATCAGACACAACTGAAGCACTTCTTCATTTCACCGAACTCACCATGTGTAGGTGGAGAGATCTGGTAGGGTCTAGCATGCTAGAATCAATTAACATTAACAATTTCCTCCGAATATCGGCTGCTCTAAATGACACAGTATTGGTTTGAGCAGTGGTCACACACATACACAAGAACTTGAGCATGTCCAAAACAAGTAGATCTTGCTTTGACAGATGTTCTTCAGCTAAAGGACTCGTGGCACCTAAAAATAAAAAGCACTTACTAAGAATAAGAGAGGTGTACCATCACCACATATGTTGAACATTAACACAAATATCTTCCCTTCAAACAACAACAAAAAAGAGATGAAAATACATGTAAAGCAAAATTATGGTGAAACTAATTATATACTAAAAACTTCAAAATTCTTCATAATAGGTTACCCTAGGATTTTATCATCAAGAAATAATCCATGGAAAAATCTATATAGACAAATATTTACTGAAATACTATTAGAAAGGAATCTAAATTTCTGCCAATAAAAAAATGGTCTAGTAAATTAGGGTATGTATGTTAACTGGGATATTATGGACCCGCTAAAAAGTATAATTACCAACAGTACAAGTACCTAAGTGAAAAAAAATGCTTATAATTAATGTTAAAAGAAAATGGACAAAGTATAAAAATTCACTTGAATGTTGATGCTGATTATAATTTTGAACGGGTCTACATAGAAATAACAGCAAAAGGTAAAAAGTTACGGCATTATGGGTATGTTTTCACTATTCTGCTTTCCATTTTCCAAATAACCTATAGTATGGTTTTATTTGTTTACTAATTATTTCAAATTCCCCCATGAAGAATCAAATACTAAAATAATAAATTCAATTAAAAATCAGAGAAATCTAAAGTGTATAGAAGGAAACAATCCCAATCCTAAAAGACTATACAAAAAGAAAATAAAATTAGCATAAAATTAGTATCTGTGAGGACTTTTATAATGCCAAATCAATACAAAGAGGTAAAAAAAATCCCATGCAGTAAAAACACATTTACCAATAATGAGCTGGCTCTCCCCGGATTCATTTGCGTCAGTAACATTACTAGCAGGGTGATCATTAAATAGACTCATGGAAGACTGATCCTCCATCTCCATTAGATTTTCATGAGTATCACTGTCCACTGATTCTACTTCTCCCAAATCCAACGGCTTTTTGATAATGGATGCCTTCAAATAAAAAAATAAAAATAAAAAAAGACATTGCTTTCAAGTTGGCATCTTTCAGAAGAATGCTGTAATTAAAATAGACCTAATCAAACAATTCAAGATTCACATGTATGAACTCTGCAGGATTTTTTTCTGTTAGATGTCCAACAACAGGAAAATGGATATATAAACTGTAGTGTCATGTAACAGACTAGTACACAATCTTTACAAATAATTTCTTATGTTAAGAAGTTTGATACTACCCCAAATGATGAGGGTATACGTAAAATTATAAAATTGGTATGACTATTTTGGAGGACAATGAAAATATCCATCAAAAAGTAAAATTCACAGTTCTTTGAACAAGCTCAAGTAGGAGCAGACATGTATAAGAAATTTACTGTAGAACTCTTTGTAATAAAAAAAAGAAACCATTTAAAATGTTTAGATCAGTTGGGTTAAAATACATACATACTATTATTCCCATATATATGAAATACCCCACTACCACCAAAAAAAAAAAGCTAAGGTATAGCATTATTTAGTGACACGGAAAAAAGTAACCAAGATTTATTATTAAACAAAAATTATCAAATTATGGAATATTTTTTCACCCATTAGATATCTGAATACCTACTATGTGTGCCAGGCACTGTTCCAGACAAAAAGCATGTGTAGCACAAGCCCATTTGTATGGAAGAAGAAAAATAAATATCAAGATGAGACAGTGTTGCTTGTCTGGCAAGGTTTTTGTTTCTATTTTTAAGAACAGAAAATTGGTCCTGGGTTCAATTCCCAGTACCTCCTTGAATAATAAATACGCAAACCTAATTACCTCCCCCTCCAAAAAAAAGAAGAGAAAATTGTTTTCAATTTCGGTACAGTCTCATATAGAAAAAGGCACTGAGTCCAGATGATTCATTATCAATCACTCAGTCTATTATTTATTGAGAAATAAATAGCTAAGCATTATGCTAGTATTGACATTAAGAAGCAATCAAACACATTCCCACCCAAACCAAATAACTTTATTTAATTTCCACATTTTAAAAACATAAGATGCCGTATACTATGAGAAGCATCCCTATTTAAGAGATTTCAAAGTTACAAAAAGCATCTTAGAATCAATGAAACACAGTAGTAAAACAGGAGGCATACTTACTAAACTTCTACAAATATCTGCAATATCATTCATTAGCTTTGATGTTAATAATCGTAAGAAAAAGCCAGATGCAATCTTATTTGGACTGCCCTGTAATTAAGATAAAAAAAATACCAAGCAAACAAAGAAATAAAAACAATTATTCTTTGCAGATATTTTCTCTATCATTGATGAAATAAAGATTTTCTTTTACATTGGAAATCATCAAAATAAGCATGGATAAAGAGATTACTGTTAGGAACAAGACATAAATTACTTCAAAAACACTAACATCTTGGGGAGGGAAATAGCTCAGTGATAGAGCGCATGCATGAGGTCCTGGGTTCAATCTCCAGTACCACCATTAAAAAATAAATTGATTTTTTAAAAATACTAACCTCTTTTCTTAAAGTAATAATAACTGTAGCACATAACATTGATTGGCATTAATAACATTAAAGTAAAATACCAGCTATTGCTCCTAAGGATGGGCAAGCAATAATCATTGCTTAGAATATATTCTTCAACTGTCTTCTCCCCCACTTATACCAAAAAAAAAAAAAAACAAATAAAAATGCATGTTGATATTATGGATAAAAGTCCATGTACTTAACATTAGCTTTAAAAAGTGTTTCCGGTTATTATCAATACTCTGGCCTAGCTCAGCTACACCTCAGGTCTGCTCCAAATCAAAACAAGGAATACACACAGAAGTGCTCTTTCTACCAAACGTTATGTAAGACTGTCTGAGCAAAAGAGAGTAATGTATGTGCTGGAACTATTGATCTTTGTGTTGCTCACTAGCCCTGGTACAGCATTATGCCCATCACATGGCTAGCCATCAACAAGCTTTTCTTAAATGAATGAAAATACATTGGCAATAAAAAAGCCACTGACTAGTTGTCTATAAAAGGGGTAAGATAATCTCAGAAACTTTCCTAAGAAGGTTAGTTTCATGAAAATAGTTTCATGAGAAACTCAGACCACCTGTTGCTTTATTCCTCTGGATACTACCTTAATTTACCAATTTAATTTTAAATTAGTGTATAAATTTATGAATGGACCCCCAAAATAGTAACAGCACCAACCAGTTATCAGCCTCCCAGACAGGCCATGCTGTCAAGTAGGAAGAACATCTTACCTTAGCACAGTTATACAAGCAACTTGTACACAGATGCATCATATTTCTCAATGAAACAATTCTAAATTCCTCATTCATCTTATTTTTAAACAGAGTGATACTTTCTCCTGCACACTGCATTAGAGACTATTAAGAAAAAAAAGGGAAAAAATCCAAATTCAGTTAAAATGATAGCTTAGTGATTGTTTTTTAGTT